TAATAGTGTCACATTTTAATCCACTACCAATTTTATACGAGCAAAATATCTGAAAAAATATCGCTACAAAGACATTAATTCACCTTATATCTACAAGTTGTTTTTTTCGAAGTAGGCGCCCACGTTTGAAACGGCCAATAAAATTTGAATTATGGTCCATGTTAAAACAGTGCAGTACGATTTTATGGTAAAGTCAATATCATTAGTTTGTCCGTGTAACATCAAAACCTATTAATATATATCTCTTCCAAAACAGTTTTTTTTAAATGTGAACTTACTTGACGTTTTCCCATATCTGATGCACTGATGGGAACCCTTGAAATAGCTTACAACAATGTATAGATAACCTAGCAACTACAGTAAAATTTTCAATAATGTGAAAATAATAATTCAAATTATTGTTTTTCCTAACTACCATTTCAATAGCGCAATTCATAAACTAACAAGTGACCGCACTTACTAAGTTATAATGTTATAAACAAGATATGAAAGTGTTTGTGTAGGTCACTTGTCACATATTGGAAGTTATAATTTGCTAAATTAAAACTTCCAGTATGTGATAATTGATTCCCGCGTGTGCGGTGTGTTATTCAAGCGATCGATACATCTATATTGTAAAAATGAATAAATGAAAATTAAATAGACCTATAAGTGGTTTGAAGAATCAAGAAATCTATAAGTATTGAGTTCAAATCCGTTATTTGACTCCTGTCGTGAACCACTCCTAACGCAAGCATTTTAAACTTTCTAGGAAGGTTTAAAAGGAATATTAGTAATTTTAATATCATTTTTAATATTTCAAAAAAAAAAAAGAACTTTAGACAAATACAGACTGTTAATGTCTTGCAATTAATAAGTTTCGTTTAATTCCATGTATTTGTAATTGAAAACTAAGTAATTATTTTCTTTTTTATACGTGGTAGAGCCATGCTGCAGTTATATTAGATGTACAGTTGTAGCACGAATGGGGTCGGCTCGACCGGGCAAGGACCACGCTCTCACAGAATACCAGCGTGAAATAGTAGCTTAATGCTGCTGTATTTCGTATGGTGAGTGTAGAGAACCGGAGACCCTTTTTACTGGAAACGAGGCATTCCATCTTAGTCCTCACGGGTGACAACGCATCTGCATTTTGATTTTTAATGGAGGATAGATGTAGATGTCTATGGGCCGCAGCAACCACTTACCATCAGGTGGACTGTGTGCTCGTTTATCACCCTATTCTATAAAAAAAAACCACTACCACTACTTTTATTAAATCTTTTTTTTTAAAGGATAAAGGGTGAAAAATTAGCTCTACTGACTGAATTCGTTATGTGTTTTAGGATTTTTTATTTGGTCTCACTTTTGTACTGGTATATAAAGTTTGGATCAATTCTATCACTATATAATGGAAATCTGTTACTATACTCTGTTTGCTAGAGCTGTTTGCTGTTTCCAGAACGTATTTGTAGACTGAAACTTGGACAAATTCAGTGCCCACAAATAACAATCAGAGCTTTATAATAATATTTAATACAAACGACCTGCCCCGGCTTCGCCTGAGTAGCAGTTAATAATGTGGCGTCATTTTTCGATTCGTAATTTTTACAATTAAAAAAAAGTCACCAAATTTTCAGATAAAGTATAGCCTATATCACTTTTGACATTGCTGTCTTGTAGTTTTAACAAGGTTAGTATTGGGATTATTTGACAGATGTATAGATAGATGAGCAGGCAGAAACTTTAACAATAGTTATTTATATCTTAATTTCACGCAAATTGCTCCATTCAGACATACTCTTCAATTTTATTTAGAAGTGTAGAAGTGATATTCGAAAACAAGATGTTTTTTTTTATTTTTTACGAACATTAAAAATTGAAAGTATTTTTTTAAAATTTTTTTTTATGTAGAGTATAAAATACATACATCCTGTTCGTGTTAACATACTGTAACGTACTCACGTCCTGTGTCAAATGGCATCCACTAGCAATACAATGGCAGATGCAGCCAAAAATATGATGACAATTCTGACATCAGAAAAGGCTATTGTAACTGACGTTGTATAATTATTTGGATGGTGTTTGTCTCATTCGTCGACAAGTTGCCTCTTAAATCATTCTATGATATATGTTAATGGAAATTTAAAGAGATTTATTTAAAAATGTTATCATTTTTAACATTAAGGATATTAGACCATCTGCAACTCTGTCACTAATGGACTTGAGTAAAACATTGAGAACAGTGTTAAGTATAAATAAACTCCATAGGGGCGAAATTCAACAAAATTCAACAAGCATCAATGAAGCTATTGCTGGATGCACGCCATTCAAACATTTTCCAGAAATGTAGGTGGAGCTGTTGTCGAGATTTAGAATTCACCCGTGCGAAGCCTGGGCGGATCGCTTGTGTGTAATAAAAATATATCACGTCAAATGATTTATATATTAAGGTAATTTTCAATCACAAGTTTTAGTTAGATAAATGTTTAATTCTAAAGCAAATAAATATTACAATTTTTAGTAACAAATCTAAAAATTGTAACATTTATTTGGTTTTAGCAATAAATCTAAAGACATGCAGAAAATCGATGGATAAAGATGGCTCGGGTCCGTGTTTTGTGGCATTCTTTGAGAGAGGCCTATCTTCAGCAGTGCATTTCTAAAAGGCTATGTTGATGATGATGATGATGATGAAATCAAAATAATATTTTCTTTTGCGTAAAGTTGCGTTGTAATAGCGCCATTTACGTCAATAGGTAAAGATATTTCATCGAACAAAATTTGACTCTCAAGGTGGTACGTTAAACAGACGCTAGATGGCATGTAGTTATGAAATCGTCGATTTTTAAGAATTCATTGGTATATTATGACCATTTTATTCATTAAGATTAGTTTTATTTAAATAATAAATTTGTTATTTTTTAATTTAACAGAAAACAATTATATTAACAACCTTTAAAACACAAAAAGGAAACCGAGATAATAGGTAACATTGTATTTAAAAAAAATACTTGCAATGCTATTAACATTACTAATATTCTTTTTAACTACTCGTAGTAAGTTTAAAATGCTTGTTCAAGGAATGGTTCACGACAGTAGTCAAATGGCGGATTCGAACAGACGACCTTTAACGTTCGCGGTCCGTACCTTGCCATTAACTGTCTCTTCCCCCACGAACCCCCATTGTCGTGACGGGGGGACTTAGTAACCGTGGCTTGGTCACTCGCGGTGAACAAAGAGGAGACCAACTGGCCTGAAATAAAGGGCCGGCCCGAGATGACCACTCCGAGTGGGCTTGGCGAGCCTTGGGCTATCCTCCCCCCTAACCACTGCAGCCGAGGTAGAGTCCCGGAGGAAGAGGAGTTCCCAACCCAAGCATACAACTGCAAGACTTCAAGATACCCATAAGTTCATACTGTGTAGATCGGAACAAAAGTTAAATTTTAATCTATGGTAACCGCTGTTAACCTTGACATCTGGACGTTGAACATCTCAATCCCACCCGTGACCAAGGGTGCTGTAAAGCGCTTTTTTTTTGCGCCCGAAGCAATTAAAGGGCTACCCTATACGTAGGGAGGCGGAAAATGCATTACGCATACCACGATAGCCGGTCTATCGTGGTTATGAGGGACTCACTGTCCTACCGGGGACCCTATGTGATACCGTCTAAAAACCGCCTTTGGGGACAGGCAACCGGCTGATTAAGCTGTATTGTGCCTTATCGTGAGCGACCCTCTTTTGTGAAAAGAGGGCGCAGGCGGCTACGAGCCGCTGAGGGAGTGCCTACGAAGGCAAATTAATATTAGTTAATATGATAATTTAATTTAATTAGAGTTGGCCTGAGCCGCCAGGAGGCAGTTCAGGTCGTTAGTTTAGTTTATTAGTCGGGTCCGAGAGAGAGTTTCTCGGCCTGCGGACTCTTGTAAAGCGCTCGAAACGTCGGGAATTTATAGTTAAATATACGCGATAAAATCCGTAAAAACTAGTATTATTTCAAAATATATATAGGTAGATAACTAAGTAAATACCTATTTATATTTAACTTATTTCATAAAAATTTTTGCTGGCGAAACAAAAAAAAAACGGTGACACTGTACAGTGCATAATGGCTACTCTATTACTCATATTTTAAGTTAATACTGATGTATATATATATATATATATATATATATATATATATATATTAAATGTTTGTAATTATTAAAAGCCCCTAATGGTACTTTTAATAATTACAAACATTTAATAATTAAATACATTAAGAGGTTTAATTTGACATTCGATTTAAATATGAATGTAAACTTAAGAATTTAAGTAACGAAACTTGTACGAATCAGTTAAATAAGATTGCTCTGTTTCAAAGAAATATGTTTATGAGGAAAAATATAAAGTAATAATATACTTATTGTCATTTTAGCTGCATGAATTTTAAAACATAATAATCTTAACAGGTACTAGCCCAATACGCAGGAGATATTAAATTGCACCAAGTGTCTGTGGATTCATATGCACTCTTTATTTTCTCAATCTATATTATATGATGTATATATGTATGTTAAGAAAACGGTCATACATCCGTGGACTGACCGCGGTAAGTGCAGCTTAATCTCGCAGATCTATTGATCCGCGCAGCCACTACTCCCAACACCACTACACTGCTGCTGGAATTAGTGGTGACTAGGATAGTGCACACAATTATGGGAGGGCGGGTGGCGCTCTTCAAACTTGGTAAGACATATCATTTTATTTCATTGAGCGGATGTGTGCGAGGTAACTCTTACTAACTTTAAATATTATACTTACTGGTAGAGGAAAAGGACCGAATATGGAATACTTAAAGAAATTCCTAAAAAAAATCAGTACAAACGTTTTATTTTAATCAGTCTCATAGGTTACAATTAAATGCAGTCATAATGACTCTTGAAAAATAACAATTAAATCAACAAAAAATAAAAACTTTCCGTAATATTATTAACTAAAATAAATCAACCAAAAATATGCCTCAGAAAAATGTGACCCTATTATGGAATAGGGTAATCCATAATAGGGTCACGTCTCGTTAATGAAAAGAAAAAAAGAAAATTAACCCTGTAAACAAAAATCACAAATAAAATCTGGATATTCTGCTCCGGAACACTCAACGTGACACCATTGTCTACAGGCAATGCACTGAATCCACTCTTCACCCTTTTTGTCTTCACTGAAAGACCAGAGCAATACATGCACTCAGCGTCAGCATTGGGATCGTTAGGTTGAAGAACAGAGGGTTTGTCGTCACTACATTCACTAGATAAAGATATGGTATCTTTATCAGAAGATGATTCAGACTCCAACACTGGTTTCTTCTTTCGCTTGTTTTTCTGACAGCCGCTAGTTGATGGCTGTGGCTCGGGAACACTTTGTTTTTGCTGCTTGTGCTGCTGTTTTGACGACAAGCTAACTTCTAATTGAGCTTTATAGGGAGACGATGTAATTTTGCAAGCTTTACCAGCTTTTCTGCCACGGTTAGAGAGTTTTCTTTTTAATTTAGGATAAGGTAAAATGGCTTCAAGAGTAATAAGCACTTTTTGGGAAATATTTTTATTCTTGGTGGGTGTGGTTAAACGCTGGCTATTGGGTGACACATTTTCTATGCCAAGAGTTGGCTTTTGTGGTATAGATATATCGTGTACTGTACATTCACCCTCTTCAGTTATAAAGTCGGCATCTGTGATAATATTTCTGTTGAGGGGATAAATGCCTGTTGTCTTAAACCCGTTTATAGCTAACTCTGCGTTTTGAATTTTTATGTAAGCCTTGCCAAATATTTCCACAACATCGAAAGGACTAAGAGGTCTTTGATATGTTAAAAGCCACTGACGTATTTCTTCGCTGTAGTAGGATTTTAAAGGGCCCATGATTGTCTTGTCTAAAGGTTGCATCTTATGCGTTGAGTGCGGAAGTAAACAAACAACAGTAACAAAACTTTCACGTGCAAAGTCAATAAAATTTATGTTGCGTGTGTGGCTGTAATGGTCATCCAAAATCAATAAGATTGGGTTTTCTTGTGAAGGTTTTGTGTGCTGGATAAAATGCTTAAACCAATCAAGAAAGGTGTCCGCCTGGATCCAACCTGACGGATGGCACGTGCTGCAATAGGTGCTCCTTTCATGAGCAAAACATTCATCTTTTTGCGTGGGAAAATGATCAGTGGGGGTACAAAGTCACCAGCTGCACTTATTGCAAGACAAACTGTCATGAGGGACCCTCTTTCTGCAGAAGTCAGGGCTCCGACTTGTTTTTTACCCCTCGTAGCTAAAACCTTTGGTGTCTTCGATTGGACTATGCTAAGCCCAGTCTCGTCGACGTTGTAGATCCTAGTTGGTGGAAATTTAAATAGTTCAAATTCCTTTTCCAGTAAATCATAAAAGGATTTAACATTTTCTTTCGTAAAGCCTTTAACCCGAGCAAATGATGTACCTGTAGGTTGGCGCAGAGAAAGTTCTTTATGCCTTGCCAAAAACCCTTTTAACCATTTACGTCCAGCTGTTCTATTATTAAAAGGATGCTTTAAATTATTTTTTATCGCCAACTGATATGCCATTCTCTTCACATCATTTCGTGTTAGCCCAAAATACAGTTTTTCCATTTGCCTGACATACTGTACTAACATATGTTCAATGTCAGGTCCCAAAACTGTTTTACGACCAAGGCGGCTGTCTATATTTGGTTCGTTGGTATGACAGAATCGAAAAAGGGTAGTCCGAGGTACATTAAAGACCTGTACAGCTTTCTTATAACCCATTCTTTGGGTTCCCACGGCTTCAATAGCATTTTTCATATTGACTTTGTCCCATTCTTTTCGTTTTTTTACTGGCGGGGCCATGTTGATCACAAATATATCTGTAAAAGAGAGAAATAGTAATCAGACACCATATAGTATCTTGAATGTTTACTATAATGAATCGATAGTCTTGCACACACAACAAGAAGAGGAATGAAAATAAATGCTCACCTTGCGTTGTAAAAATGTAATTTTATTTTACATTTCTCAAACAGATTCCCTGCGGATGATTAGAAAAAAAAGGTTAAGGTTAATTGGGCGAGTTCGTTAGAATCAAAAGAAGAACTCAACAATTTGCAGCAAACTTTTTCTTGCTAAGTATAAAAGAAAATGTAGAATAAAAACGATTTTATTATAATATTTAAAGTTAGTAAGAGTTACCTCGCACACATCCGCTCAATGAAATAAAATGATATGTCTTACCAAGTTTGAAGAGCGCCACCCGCCCTCCCATAATTGTGTGCACTATCCTAGTCACCACTAATTCCAGCAGCAGTGTAGTGGTGTTGGGAGTAGTGGCTGCGCGGATCAATAGATCTGCGAGATTAAGCTGCACTTACCGCGGTCAGTCCACGGATGTATGACCGTTTTCTTAACATACATATATACATCATATAATATAGATTGAGAAAATAAAGAGTGCATATGAATCCTCAGACACTTGGTGCAATTTAATATCTCCTGCGTATTAGGCTAGTACCTGTTAAGATTATTATGTTTTAAAATTCATGCAGCTAAAATGACAATAAGTATATTTTATTATTACTATTTATTTTTGCTCATAAACATATTTCTTTGAAACAGAGCAATCTTATTTAACTGATTCCTACAAGTTTCGTTACTTAAATTCTTAAGTTTACATTCATATTTAAATCGAATGTTAAATTAAACCTCTTAATATATTTAATTATTAAATGTTTGTAATTATTAAAAGTACCATTAGGTACTTTTAATAATTACAAACATTTAATAATATATATATATATATATATATATATATATATATATATATATATATATATATATATATATATATATATATATATATATATACATACATACATAAACACTCACGCCTGTCACCCAGAGGGGTAGGCAGAGACTACAGACTTCCATTTGGCACGATCCTGACACACCTCTCTCGCCTCCTTCACATCCATACATCTACGCATGCATGCTCGTCGGTTAAGGGTACTCCTAATTTGGCCCGTTTTCAATAAATCGCCAATTTGGTCGATAAATTTTCGCCTAGAACGTCCCTTTCCGACTCTGCCATTCACTTCTGCAACATAAATTTTCTTTGTCACTCTTTCCTCATCCATTCTTTCCACATGACCAAACCACCGAAGCATTCCTTTCTTAATCCTGGTCACAACATCATCTTGCAAACCACACTCTTCTCTTATCACACAATTTTTCACCCTGTCATTCAGATTCAGCCCTCACATACTCCTTAACGACCGCATTTCTACTGCATTTATTCTACTCTCGTGCTTCTTCTGCCACACCCAACTTTTACTACCATACGTTAAAGTAGGGACCAGCACAGCATTGTGAATTGCCATACGTGCCTTTTTTGACACATTTTGACTCTTCACAATAGAGTGCAGGGCCCCATTTACTCTGTTTCCTGCGTTCACTCGTCGTTCTATATCCTTATCATATCTCCCATCCCTGCTAAATACGCAACCCAAATATACAAACTCATCTACTTGCTCGATCATCTCCCCTTCTATTCTTATTTCACATATCGTTTTACTTTCAACTCTTTCAAAAACCATAATTTTCGTCTTACTTGCGTTCACTTTCATACCCCTTTCTTTTAATGATCTGTTCATTAATGTAACCATCATTTGCAACTCAGCCGCCGACGACGCAAGAATAACTTGATCATCGGCGTACAAAAGGCATTTGATTGTTAACTCACCCATTCTTAATCCGCATTCTTCAACTTTCAAATTTTGCAAACAACTGTCCATAAATAGGTTGAACAACCACGGGGAAGCCACACAGTCCTGTCTGACACCTTTATGGATGTCAAACCAGTCCGAGTAGACCCCGTTGATCCTAACACAAGCACTAGAGTCCCTATAAAGAGATTCCAATGCCTGTATCAAGCCAGCGCTCAACCCAAATGAGTTCAGTGTTTGCCATAGCACATTCCTATCCACTCTGTCATAGGCCTTCTCCAAGTCCATGAACGCACAAAAAACCTTTTGGTTTTTGGCCAAAAACTTCTCCGCGATCATGCGCATGGAGAAGACTTGATCTGTACATCCCGTTCCCTTTCTAAATCCCGCTTGAACATCCCAAATTTTTCCATCGGTTTCTTTCATGACCCTTACAATTAGTACCTTGGCATACAATTTTCCCACGATGCTAAGAAGGCTGATACCGCGGTAGTTTTTACAGTCCTGCTGCGACCCTTTTCCCTTATATACTGGGACTATCACGGCTTTGCACCAGTCTCCCGGTACCTGCTTCAGTTTCCAGCATAAATTAAACAGGGTGTGCAGCAGGCCTGCCACCACTTCCTCTCCAGCCCTTAGCATTTCGAGTGAAACTCTATCATATCCGGCAGCCTTACCTGCTTTCATGCTTTTCATTGCTTTCATTATTTCATCTATACTTATCTCGCTACCTCCTTCCTCTTCTTTCGGAGTTCCTATTTCATTCAGTTCATACGTTGTCTCCTCACTCATAAACATGCTTTCAAAATATTCCTTCCATCTCTTTAAACTCAAAACTTCATCATTCAGAATATAGCCATTCTCATCTCTTATAGCATTCATTATAGGCTGTTTTGAACGTCCTCTGGCAGTTCTTATGAGTTTCCAGAACATTTTAATATTTGCCTTGAAGTTATCCGATATTCTTCTATCATTATTATCCGTTCTTTCCTGCTTTTTCCTTTCAACTACTTCTTTTACTCTTTTATTTAGATGTCTAAGTTTTTTCTTTCAAAATCATCATTCGTACCGCTAGAATTACCAGCCTTAGTTGCTAGTAAATCTAGCCATGCTCTCTTCTTTGCTTCAACTTCCGTACGTATCTCATCATCCCACCACAAAGTATTATTTTTCCTTTCATTCTTTCTTTTACTAACACCACACATACTTCGGTAGCTGCATCTACTAAACCTTTCTTAACATTTTGCCATACATTCTCCAAGTCTAACTCATTCATACATAATTCATCCAAACCACTTATATTTTCTTTCAGTCTACATTTAAACTTGTTTTTCTCACCTTCATCTTGTAATCTTTCTGTTCTAATACGCTGTAACGTAGTGGTAGACACAGATGACCGATGGCGCCACCGCCTGAATAGACCATTAATTCGGCATAAAACCAAAAAATGATCCGTTCCTACGTTTGACCCCCGGTAAACCCTTGTATCCACCACTGCGCCCCTCAATCTTTCATCCACAATTATGAAATCTATCATGCTTCTATCATCACCTCTTTCCCAAGTATACATGTGAATCCTCTTGTGGCGAAAGAAAGTGTTCGTCACAAAAAGATTCTTATACATACATACCGTGAGGAGGCTTTCACCATTCTCATTTATACTTTCATCACCAAACGTTCCCAATATCCTTTCATAACCAAGCCTCCTCACCCCAACTCTTCCATTAAAATCTCTTAGCATAACAACATTTTCATTTCCCTTACATTTCATTAATACCATCCTTACCATTTCCCAAAACTGCTCTCGGATATGAGTGGGCTTAGACATGTCTGAGGCTTAGACCCCTAGCACAAACAACTTCTTTATGCCCACTTTCAATCGTATCCATAGCAGTCTTGGGCTTACACATTCATACTCTTTCACACATTGCACCATTCTTTCTGATAGGATGATACCTACTCCCTGGCATGCCCGCTCGAGCTCGTCTACACCAGACCAGTATGCGGTATACATGCCATGTGTAGTGACATCCTTCCCCTTCCGTTTCGTCTCATTTACACATAACAAATCTATTCCTCTATCATACATCACCTCGCATACTTCATCCATTTTATCATTCATTGCTCCACATACATTCAACGTAGCCAGACGGGCCTCTGCAATCCACTTTTCGCCCCTCCGGGAGAC